CAAAACCATTCTTCATAAAAACCCAGAAAACTAAAAAATAAACATTAAAAAAAAATTCTCTCTCTCTCTCTCACTCTGTCTTTAAAAAACAAAACAAAACAAAAAAAAACCAGAAAAAAGCTGCATTCATTTTCACAACTCTAGGTTTGGTGTAATCAGAAACAAGAAGTGTTTTTCCCCAAAAAATGTATTTAAATTTCACTCTGTGATGTATGTAGAGAAAAAATAATCTACACTATTTTTGGAGGGGTGGGTACCAGGGATTGAACTCAGGGGCACTCGACCACTGAGTCATATCCCCCAGACCTATTTTTTATTTTATTTTTATTTACACTCTTTTATATGTGTCCTACTACATAGGCCATTAGATGTAGTACAGGTGGAATGTGGTAGACTTGTTTGTGTGATGAGTTGATTCAGGAAACCAAAAAAGGGGATCATCCAATTTAGCTTTCTAAACAACAATGTATTTTTACACAGAATTAACTCATCTTCAATTTCATATCTATGTGACCTTCTTCACTCTTCTCCATTAACGCATATGGTAAATTCTTTAACATTGTGGAAAAAATAAGCATAACCTCACATTTCAAGATATGCGGCTTTGAAAATAGATTAGAAAAGATACATAGTGAAAGAAACTTTAAAATGCATGATTATTGGACATTTTAATAGAAAAATGCAAAAGAGATACAAAACTGCTCTAACTTATTATCCTTTCCAGAATCAAACTAAATTGTTTGAAGCTTCTTAAAATGAACAAACCAAATACAGGTTATGAGTTCTATATAGTAAGTAAAATGCTAAAGTGTATGAAGTAATACAACAGATTTTTCTTATTTTGAGCCTGAAACAAAAAGGTGGTTCTAGAACAAATATTTGAAAATAATGATAAAGCTAGATTCTAAAAAAATCTTGTCAGCATCTTTATAATCTTATTATAGTACAAGGCCAAGGTTTACTTAAAAATTTTGGCAAGTCAAACTTACACAATTAAAATAAATATAGTGTCACGTGATTTGGTCTCCCAAAGATTGGAATTTTGACCTTGTCTGAAGTCTTCCTGATTCAAATGCTACAAATACTTTAGCTGAAGAAAATATTAAACATTAATTCTCCCAGATTGTGGCTGTGCTTTTTAATGTTCATGCCCCACGCTAATATTTAACATAGGCTTATTTAATTCAACAAATATTTATTATCACCAGAGATAAGCTCTAGCCTGAGGCAACAAAGACATAAAGTTGACCAAAACCAACACAATGCTTCTTCTTACAGGACTAAGAGAAGCAGAGAAAACACAGAATTAACAAATAATTACAAAAGAGTAATTATCCAAGAGTATAGGATAAGCAAAAGTATTTTTAAAAAATCTATGGAGTCAGCGAAGGCCTTGTGGTAGAAGTTTTCAGCTAGCATCTTTAAAACAAAACTATTCAAATTTATGGCAAGAGAACCATATTTCTAAAGGTTATTGCTGTTCAGTCCCATCAATTAAATTACCCTTATAACACATACAGGGTAATTTAAGTGCCAGGCTTACATATTCAGCATAATACGCTGCTTTTAAAAAAGTTCTTAGCTATAGTCTTAAACATCAAAAAGAATCACTTCATTTCTACTACTTCAGGAAAATCCAATAAAGCATGGGTTTAAAATAATATTTCTGGAAAATGGCAGACTGATCCCCTAAGTTTCTTTCAATCACTTCCTCCTCAACTACACTAAAATCACAGTAAAGAAATTTAAAAAGGCATAAATACATAAGGACTAAAAAGAGAAAAGAAGAAGAGATTAAAACAATCAAGAGAATTCACCAACATTTCTGTAAAATTGAAGAGATGGAGGAGTGATAATTGACCTAGGGGAGCAGAGGCACTCTTGGGAAAGACTAAATGGAAGTATAAATCTCAGAAATGCGAGGTACTGGAAACACAAGCAGCTATATAGACACTTTGTAAGTGATGGAACTAAAAATAGGATTAAAAATAATACATAAGTAGAGCATTAGGTATTTCCCCAATATATGTTCTTATACCTATGTACATGGCCCTGCATCCAGAATATTACTGCTCCCCTACCTCTCTAATTCTTTGAAGAAATTCAATGATACCAAAAAAAAAAAAAAAAGTGCTATGAAATGCTGACATTTGAGTGCTGCTCTAATAAAAAATATGATCACCCAATGAAAAGCCATGCTCATGTAAAGAACTTTTGAGAAGATCTCAAATAATAGATGGGCAACAACCATAGATATGTGAGGATAATCTGCAAAATAAAAGTGAGAATCTGTTAACTCAAACAGCGATTAAAATAAAAAAAAAAAAGAAGGAACCTAGAAGAAACAAAGTAATGCACAGAGCAGAAAACAAAACAAAATTACAAGTTATATTCTTAAAGTAAAAAGAGGCCCAGGTGGCTCATGCCTGTAATCCCAAATGCTCAGGAGGCTGAAGCAGGAGGATCACAAGTTCAAAGCCATCCTCAGCAACTTAGCAAGGCTCTTAGCAATTTAGGGAGACACTGTCCCAAAATAAAAAATAAAATGGGCCGGAAATGTGGCTCAGTGGTAAAGCACCACTAAGTTCAATCCCTGGTACAAAACAAAACAGAATGCCTGTAACACATGAACCCATGAACATAGAATATAAAAAAGTTCTAAAAAAAATAGGATGGCTAAAATTAATAATTCAGAAGAAAGTCTGGAAGATAAAGGCAAGGATATTTTCCATAAAAGCCAACCACTTACAAGATTGTTAAAACTGAAATACAAGAAAGATTGACATTAGAATTAAATTAGGATCTGTCATCAAATACTAGCAGTTCCAGAAAATGAGAACCAAAAAAAAAAAAAAAAAAAAAATGTAGAAGAAAATATCAAAGAAATAGTACAAGAAAATTTTACACAAAATTTTAGACATGAATTTCCATATTGAAAGGGCCCTTAAGTATGTAGCACAAAACTATACATACCAAAGCTCATTATTGTGAACATTTTAAAAATCAAGAATAAAAAATTTACAAAAGTTTTCAGAGAGGTGACAAAAGGTCACATAAAAAAAGGGTATGACAATCAAAATGTAGGACCAGAGATTTGGGAAGGATAAGACACAGAATTCCAGTTTTATATGACTTCTAAAACAATGTACAGGAACTTTCATACACACTAAGCAATATGTAAAAAAATAGATACGTAAATAAATTAATTAAACAAATTTATTGAATGTTCACTACATGCCAGGTGTGTCATCCTGTTTTAAATATATTAACCCTTCTAATTCTCATAAGAGTGTGAGACTGTTATCTTCTTTTATGGATAAGGAAACAGGTATTGAGAGATTAAGTAATTTGCACAAAATGACAGAGCTAGTAAGTGGTGGATCCTGAGTTCTAGTTTTCTGAGTGTTGGTTTTGAAAACTGCATGTTACTGTCTCTCCATTTAAAAGTAAAATTAATTATAAAAAAGAAGAAAATACTATTTACATGTTCCCTACCTTGTTAATCTATTCCCAGATCAACTGTGGTTGACTGAAAGTTCTAACCTGGTACAACTTGGTAAAAAAAAGTTTAATGATACCTTTCCTCTTAAGCCACAAAAATGTACTATTTGGGGGAGAAGGAGAGTATTGAATGCTGAGGGTATTTGCTAGTTATTTTAAGTATTCATTACATAAAAGTATTTGGGTTGTGTGGTTATGATTTATTTCGAGAAGTTCCATGAAGCAGATTCCCTAACCTAAATGCATCAATGACCTGCATCAAAATAACCAATGCACTCAGATCACCACCATGTATTTACACAAAGCATAAAAGCTACAAAATTTCACTAAAGTTAAAAACAGTACAGTTGTCTCTTTTCTAAATTATTTTTTTATCTAACTTTTTCACACTTTTCTAGTGTAGCAAGGAAAATTTCCCTAGACAATTTTTCTATTTATTTGCATTTCTTTATTAAATATGATGATGTGATAAAAACATCAATTATGCCCTTTTTAGTCACTCTTACCTCACACTCATCTTTACCTATATTATCAACTGTCTAATATATATTATCTACTATAGTTAGACATTTTCATGTGATTAAAGTCCTCTGTAGGAGCTTCATTTATAGTTTCCTAACTTTGCTGTTATATTGGGGATTGCACCCAGGGCTTCAAGTATTCCAGACAAGCACTCTACCTCTGAGCTCTATCTCCAGCCCCTTAATTCTTGTTTTAATGGGGTAGGTGGGAGAGAAATATACTCTTCTTGAATAGTTTTTTCCCCCTTTTACATTCTGATGTCACCATATTTCCTCCTCCTCCTTTTTTAAATTTTTATTTATTTATTTATTTTGGCACTGGTAAATGAGTACAGGGCTTCATGCACAGCAGGCAAGTGCTCTACCACTAAGCTACATTCCCAGCCCACATCTTTCATTTTGACTTATAAGGAAGCTACAAAGATTTAGCGTTTCTATCCTTGGTACTTCCATACACTAATATAATGACTTCTGAGACCTCAGACCACTACTTCAAAGCTCATCCTATTGCATTCGATTTCCTGAATCATTTACTTTTGCCCTGCCTAGTCTGGTGGTTCCTTTCTCACACACGTAGCTCTCACATTTTTACCTCTCCTCCCCTTTCTGAGTCGTGTTTTGTTTTATTTTGGAGGAGAAGGAGGAGTGTTTGATTGACAGGCGGTAGCTGTAGCAACCCATAAGCTCCGGATGCGTCAATGACAGTATCATCTATGTCTTCCCAACACTTAGTAAAACAAATCCTAGGCTGCTCGGCCTAGGTCTCAGTTTCGCTCACAGGAGATTCTCTACCCACGGCCACGGAGCTCACTATATCTCTACAAGCTTCAACGTCCAGTGTTACCGTGACCTACGGTCTCAGTCGCACCGTGCATATAGTCCTCACCATCCCTCCCCGTGCACAGGTGGGATACCTGCCCAACCCTCGCGCGTCACCTGCGGGCCGCCTCCAGCGCGCGCGCGCGCTCGTGCACATACCGTCTCCTTGGCAGCAGCCACCGGGATGGGAAGCAGTCCCCGGCCTCGGGGCAGGTCCTCGAGCTCTGTGGCCGCGCTCTCGGAAGGACGCCCGGGCGCCAGCACCCGCGCGGAGTCGCCTCTGGGGTCCCCATACAGCTGGTAGCACAGGAGGCCGACAAGACCCCCGCCCGCTGCCGCTGCGATGCTCAGTTCTCCCCAGCGCCGCCGCCGCCGCCAAGCTGCCTCAGCCACAGCCCCCTCCTCATCCTCCTGGCAGGAGTAGGGCCGTCCAGAAAGGCCCGGGGCCGGCCCCGCAGGCCTCCCCCACGGCCCAAGAAAGGGCTGGTGAGGAGAAAGCGTCGGCGGCAGCCGGGGCGGCGGCCACAGGAGCCTCCGCAGTGCAGCCATAGCGGGAGCCTTGGGCACCGGCGCTGCAAGGGAGCAGGGAGGGGGAGGGGGGCACCGAAACCTCGCGAGAAGTCGAGGCGGAGCGGTCCGCGGCTGTGGAGAGAGACCCTACGGACTCCAGGCCTGGGGTAACCTGCCGGTGGCAGGGCCGGGGGCTCACCCTGGGAATAGCGAGAGCGAGGCGGCGAATCCTGGCAGTTCTTCGGCCCTGCGACCTCAGTCCAACCACGCAGTCGTAAATAATCGTGCCGGCAGCTGGCCGCGCCAGAAGCCAACACCGCCGGGTACAGCGGGGTCAGCGGAACTCCGGAGCCCTCGGGTGCTGGGTGTCCCGGGCCCCGTGGCTCCTTGCCTCTGCCTTGCCGGGTGGGTGTCGGAGCCCTGGATAGCACTCCTCTACGAAAGTCACACCGCCTAACGGTATCCTGATCTTATGACACGAGGTCGTGAATAATTTGCAATTGTATCTTACCAGGTACAACAAAGATGAGGTGAACAAATTTGGTCCAAGTCATAAAGATTTCAGATTTTATGTCAAACCATGTTTCAACTACACAGTGGTACTTTTATTGAGGGAAGTCTAATGCTGTTTTTTTTTTTTGGTTACCGTTAATTTTTTTTTATTATTTTTAGAATCATTAATATGCCCAAATCACTCAGTTCAACAAATCAGAACTGTATTAAACAAATAAGTGAAGGATTTTTTAAATTCTTGATAAAGACAAAATTTCAAAACACACCCTTAATTTTTGTGGGAGGCCGTTGGTATAAACACAAGAATTGATAAGCACATTTTGCTCTTTATTTTTGTGTTTTTGTTTGTTTGCTACATTGTCAGTAACTGTCTTATGAGAAAATGTATATGACATTCTTCATATGTTATAGGGTTTCCCACCTCTAACCCCAATTTTGATACTGAGTTATGCTAGCTTAGGTTTCCATATTTTGGACTGGTGAGAAGCTCACAAAGCATATTAGAGCTATAAAGACGACTAACCAGTGGTTTCAGTTGTGCTTACAGTGACAAGGGACTAAGATCAGTTCATTATGGCAATTCTTAAAAAATTAGGGCTTTCAGATGCAACCAAAATAAAGTTCTCATGTCCAGGTCCTGCTACTCCTATTCCTAACACCTTGTTTTAATAGAAGTCAGTGGGATTTTGCTTCCTTAAAGCTACCAAAAGTGGCAAAAAAACATCTTTTATAACATATAAACAAAACCCGTAGTTTAGGATGTCATTTCTGCTTGTTTATTCATGCCTGTTGGTTTTATGTAATAAAAAGCTTCTTATTTTATTAAGAAGTTTCCCTCAATTTCTCTGAATTCCATTTAATTTTTCCAAAAAATATAACAGTTTCTCTAAAATTGTTTACTTTGAATTCAACACAATTTCCTGATTTCCTCATGAATTTCCAACATGTCCTAATGCTGGAATTCTTGAGCAGACTCATAAATTTTTATTAGTTGCTTTTAATTAAAATTAAGTAGCTCTGAAGAGAATTAGGGAGATAAAAACAATAACATATTACACATGAACAATTTTTAAGATGATCTTAAACATGTATTATGTTCATACATTTATATTCATATATTTTTATTTGTGTTAGCTGTCCATTGTTGCAATTAAATACCTAATAAAATAAACTTAGTGGAGAAAAAATTTATTTTGGCTCATATTTTTAGTCCATAATCATCTGGCATCATTGCTTTTAGGACTGTGGCAAGGCAGAAACATCATGGCAGAAGGACATGGCAGAGGGAAGCTGTCATCTTATGGTATCTAGAAAACAGAAAGGGACCAGAGAGAGATACTTTCCTATGACCTACTTCCTCCAACTAGGCTCTACCTTTTACAGTTTCTACCACTTCCCAATAGACGTACCAATAGATTAATCTTTCAGTAAAATCAGAGCCCCCATGATCCAATTACTTCCTAAAGCCTTACCTCTTAACATTACTGCATTGGGTACCAAGGTTTCAACACATGAGCCTTTGGGGGATATTCCAGATCTAAAGGAAATACTAAACTCTCTATAGTCTTAGTAAATTCGCATGATATAATTTCTGCAAGAAATTTATTCAAACAGAAGCTAAAGTTTGCTATAAGATGTTGTGGATTTCAGCTTATAGAATACTTTGGATAAAATGTCTGTGTGAAAATTATTTTAATTACAACTTTCCATTGTACCTTTCCTTTAAAAACCAATTTCCTTAAGAATAGTTACTGTTTTCTTCCCATGTCCAGGGCTCTATAGCTATAGCTACACAAAAATAACCAAATCCCTTTATTAGGCAGATATTTTTCTGAATTTAATTTCTGTAGGAAAAATTATACAAAGACACATAGTATTAGGAATTTAGAATCTGTTTTAGTCAGGTTTTTTTTTTTTTTTTTTTTTTGCTGCCATGACTTAACCCAACCAGCAAAACTGTAGAGGAGGAAAACTTTATTTAAGGGCTCACAGTTTCAGAGTTATTAGTTCATAGAAGGCTGGCTCCATTCCTTGGAGCTTGAGGTGAGGCAAAACATGGCAGAAGAGTGTGGCAGAGGGAAGCAGCTCACATGGTGATCAGAAAGCAAAGAGAGATCTTAACTTGCCAGATACAAATATATACCCCAAAGCCACACTCCCAATTCCCACCTTCTCCAGTTACATCCTACCATTTCAGTTATCACTCAGTTAATCCCTATCAGGGATTAATTCACTGATTAGGTTAAGGATGTAACCCAATAATTTCTCCTGCAAACCTTCTTGCATTGTCTCACACATGAGCTTTGTGGGGACACCACACCTGAATCAGAGTCATTTTTTAAATTTCAGATACTATTGTTGGGTCATTATACACTCAGCCCATTGTCTTCATTTTTATGTCAATTCTATTAAGAATAATATACAAAGTAATGCCCCTATGCCATAATGAGATCCCACACCTTCAAAGAAATATCACTTAATATTCACCACAGTCTAAGTAAAAAGAATGTTCTGAAACATATTTAAAATTTTTGAACAGCAAGGATTGAGTCAAAAAGTGTTTTCTAAGAAGGCACATATCTCAGTGGATAAATGATTAGTTAGAAGGCAAGAAATCTGGACTACATTCTTGGTTTTGCTACATCTTAATTATAGTGCCTCGGAGGCCACAATTTCCTAGAAAATAATGAAGTTGAAGAGGTGAATGCCTCCTAAACCCATGTTTCTAATTAACTAAAATGCTCCAAGCATGTTAATAAACCATATATTTGTAAATATATATGTGTGTGTGTGTATGTGTGTACACGTGCATAGAAATAGCTTAACAAAACTTCTATTAAAACATGTTCTTTACTTTATACATTCTGAGCTCCTGAATTTTGACTAGTTAAAATAGGAGGAGCACTTACAACCAAGACTCTGTGTCCAGGTACCCCAAACCATTGGCCTACCCAATTCTGACAGAGCAAATGTACCAAAGAGTAAACTGAACAGTCTCCTTTTCAGGAAAGTTGTCATAAACATTGTTTCCCACCTTCATAGCTGTCTTCCTTAGGGGAAAGTGGGTAGAATAAAAGGAGAAAGTGTAGGTCCTTCCGTGGTGTTTTGTCTTCAGAGTGCTAGCCACCAGGAATCTGGAGCTCAATTCCCTAGCCTCCAGGACTATAGGAATCAAGTTACCCAAGGCATTGAGGTAACTGTTTTCTAGTTTGACTAGCTCATATCCCAAGGACATTGACTTGCACCCTGCCCTTTCTCTTACCCATACCTAAGTTATAGCTGAGCAACATGAAGCCAGACCATTTATCTACCCAGTTATTGGCATGCAAGAGTATTTTAATGATGTTAATTACAATGAAGAAAATGTAGTGGAGTGGAAGAGGGAGGGAAACACCATGGCTCATCAGACACTAAAGGAAATGATAAACTAAGCAGCACATCTGGAGATGTAATCAACCCAGATGGGAGGCCAAAAGGAGAAATAAAGGGGTTGACAAAGAAGGATAAAGGACCAAATGTGACCATGGAATGAAGTGACAGGAACAAGTTTTGTGATTTTGAGATTCTAGTACAGAGGCTTTCCTCTTATACATTACTTTGGCAGAATCTTGCTGGATTAGACCTTGCAGCTCACTTCTTTTGGTCCTCTGAGGAAGTCTGGCATGATCTATGACTAAAGGCCATTAACTTGACTGGTGAGTCCTTCCTTTTTGTTCTGTCACCTCACTGGTGACAACAACCAAGTTGTGAGTTACACACACATTTAACTATTTAACTTCAAGACTAGTAATAGTTTCACATTGACCATTACAACTATCCAGTCTGTTTTACACAGTTTCCAAGGTCTTTGCTGATGGTGCTTCATTGTTTGATTCCTATTGTTTAGGTCTTTCAAACTTCTCTGTCTTTGTCTACTATTTAGTGGCAAGGACTGATATATTTGGGAAACAAGGAATAGCAGCTCAGACTTGCAACCAGCAAAGCCACCCCTGAAAACAGGTGAGTCTTTCTCAATTGTCATATCCTGTTTTCATGTCTGATAGTGATTAAAGCTTCCACACCTACCCAAGGTATATTCTGGTGGAGAACAGCCTCAGAGTAAGAAAATGATCATCCATTACACAAGCATAACACTAGGTACCAAAATAAATAATACAATATTTCTAAAACTGTTGGCAGTATCTACTAGAGGTAAATATATGCATGTCCTATGACATATCAATTTCATTCCTAGGTAAAATACTCAAAAGAAATATGTACTTATGTCTACCAAAAGACATATTGAGGAGGCTTTATAGCAGCACTATTTGTAATTGGGGAAAAAACACCCAGAATCTATTTATATGCCTATCAGTAATAGCCAGGATCAAAAAAATTGGAGGCACAGTGATTACACAGATTACACACCTGTAATCTCAGCTACTCAGGAGACAAAGGCAGAAAGGATCACTTGAACCCAGAAGTTCAAGACCAGCCTGGGAAACATCTGATGCCTCATCTTAAAAGTATTACATTCATACAATTAA